ATACTATGGAGGAAGAGAGAGAAAACTAGCGAATAGCTGACGCCGGAGTAGTTCCTATTGAAAGCTTTTGTGCACCTTAAGAATCTGAATAACTTGCCCTTATGGCAAAAAGTTATACATTGGTAAAACTAGATGACCAATTCCGAGAACACGTCCGCAATGTAGAAAGAAATGACAAGGACGTATCCAAACCAGACACTATAATCTCCCTAATCATTCTAAGCAGCCAGGAGCCCATTACTTAGGCTCCTGAAGCAGCATCTGGCAGTTTCCGGCCTTTCCCTACATCTGGGCAGTTTGGAAAGCCGCAAAACTCTTGAGGAAAAATTTATCTTTCAAATCGACACTCTTGATAACCACCGTATCAACGAGCGCTTTTTATTCAACAAATTTATTATTGTTTTCTCCTCACCATATTCCCACCAATAGCGTAGCCCCATTTTCTGCAAATAAAACCACACACAACCCACAATTCCTCTCTTCTCGAGGCGTCAGTTTTTCAACTTTTTGCGGTGGATAGTACTAAATTACCCCATCTTCACGAAAGACCGAGCATTTGCCTAGCCTTTCAAGGTAGGTTGAATGGATTAACTTGTGCAACTGATTTGCAACTGATTTGCAACTGATTTGCCAATAGTCATCTAACAGTACATTACAGCAACAAGGAAGACTTCGATTTAGAAATGAATATATATTTTCAGTTGGAATTTCGCGAATGACTGGATGTACTTACCATCTCTTATAAGAGCAGCGTTGATTTCCAAGTGAAAAGTTAAATAATTTGCCGTCGACGTTTCTTTTCTCGGAAAACGCAGATTTTGATAATTCACGTTATTATCTGCGACTTTAAGCAAACCGCGACGACGACAATAAAGGGAACGTGGCAAAACAAAAGATCTAATTGGCAGAACAATTGCTCAGCTCGTGCGTTTTAAAGCTTTGTACATTTCTTAGGCTTGCTCTGCAAAACAACAACGTGAAATCACCAAAATTTGCGTGGTCTGCGAACGGAAAAGGGGAACGACAAATTATTTTGATTTCCATTTGGAACTCAAAGCTGCCAACATATGTTGTGCTGAAGTTAAGGTGTGGCTTTGTAAACAGTAAATACATCCTGGCGTAGCTTCCTGACTACTTAAGGTCCCTATTTTGCAGAGGCCGGATAAGAAATGAAAACAGTTTTAAAAGGGAGGCGCTGAGCTATTGTTCTGCCCAAATAAGTCTTTCAAGTTGTTTTGCCACGGCCAAGTCATCGTTTCCGTCGCCGTCGTGGTCTTTTTATTTAGTTTTTAATTTTAATTTTAAATCTTATATATTTATGATACAAAATACAGACATAATTAAAGTTATTACACAGAAATAGGGAGGTTTGATCAACAACAGCCGCGCAGTAGCTGCAGTGAGCATTTCACCAAAATTATCTTTACAGAAAAAGTATCTTTCGATGCCGTTCCATGCGTTCCCATGCAGTATGTCGTGTATTAGTGGTATCTTTCGATACGTCGACAAAATTCGGTTTACATTTGTTCAGGTCTTC